AAGAAAGCAGCCATCTGCAAGTCAAGGAGAGAGGCCTCGGGAGGAAAAAACCTGCCGACACTTTGATGGCCTTCCAACCTCCAGAACTGTGCGAAAAGGAATGTCTATTGTTGAAGCGACGCCCTCTGTGGTATTCTGATATGGCAGCCTGGGCTAACCAATGCACAATTGCCTTGTGCACTGCAGGCTCCTCTGGCAGGCACCTAGAGAGCTACAGTTATTCTCTACTACTATAAAATCAAGATGCCTTTTAAAGAGTTGAAGTAGAAAAAGATGAGGGGGAAAACAGACCTTCTGAAAACCTGCTATTTCCCTAGAGTGATGAATGGGATGCTTGTTGTCGGTGCTTGCTCAACCCTCATCCTTCTTCCGGGAAGGAGTTCCTCAGATTTCCACCAAGAAGCCTCCTGCCTGTCTCACCTCATCATGGCTTCAGGAGTGGGGACATGATACAGGCCTGGCCGGTCAACATTATAATCACTGGTCATTCTCAAGGCATTTAGGATGTGCTTTTTTAAAGCACTTACTCCAGAGCATTAGAATGTTATTTGCCGGGATTTTCTAACCTTGGCACTTTTCACATTTGCAGCTGGAACATTCATTGTTGTGGGTGCTGTCCTGCACACTGTAGGATTTTTAGAGGCATCTCTGGCGTCTCCTGGATGCTATTAGCACCCTTGTGTTATGACAACCAGAAATATCTCCTGGCATTGTCAAATGTCCCCTGATAGGGCAACATTGCCCCCTGGTTGAGAACCCTTGAACGCATGCAGCCTGGCTCAGGTCAAGGAGATTCATGCCTGGGACTTCCATTACAACTATTGGAAGGAGAATTTCCACCAAGCTGGGGCCATCATGCACCTCCATGGGAGAGACTGCCTGATAATGAAGCCAACACAAAGCAAGGTGGGATGAGAGGTGGAGAAAGAGACAGACTTGGATTTTTTAAAGGCCATCATCGGAGCCACTGGATTCAACCAAGTTATATTTTATTTATGGTGAGCCAATTAATTCCCTTTTGGGCTTCAGTCAGTTTGGTTTGGGTTCCCGTCACAGGCATTCAAAAAGCCTCCTGAGTGACATGAGACACATAAATTTGATCTCATTTAACCCTCATAGCCGCTTCCTCAGGTGGATTTGTTTATCTACACTTTACAGATTTAAAAATTAAAGAGCATAGCAGCTGCCTCTTGTATCTCTACCATCCATTCACAGCACTGCTTGGAATCATAAACACTTGCATAATGAATTGCTCAGGGGCTGCCTCCCTTGCCCAAGCGTCACCTTAGGCCACAGATGTTGTGTCTTTCTTGTTCACTGAAGCCCCAGTGCCAAAAACAGTACCTAACTCCTGGTAGGTGCTCAAAAATGTTTGTTTGCATAGATGAATATGGTTATGAGGCTTGTCCAAGAGTCTGGCCCAGAATCAGATTTCCAAGCCCATATGTGTTTCTGTATGACTTCTTATATGTTTTTTCTGCTTTGCTCCAGAGGGGAGAACTAGGTCCAATGATATGTGTAAGGGGAACCATTTCAGTGCAATTCAAGGAACAGATGCACAATTGGCTCTGTGGAGTGATGAAATGGCCCATCTCAAAAGAAGCCAATGAAGTTGGTGATGGTGATGGTAATGATGATGATGATGGTGATAACCCTAGTGAACAAAGGCTGGGCGATGAATTTGGGTCAATTACTGGGATGAACACTGTACATCCACCATCTCATTTAATCTTCACAGCAACCCTCTGACGTGGCCGTTCTTTATCTTCACGTCATCGTAAATTAAGTGAAGGTCAAAGAGTTTAAGAAATGCATGTATAGCCCCACGAGCTGTGTGCATCAGAGCCCAGACTTGAAGCTGGGCCTGTAGCTAGTGTTTGTGTGCCAAACATAGTCGCTGTCCTGTCTCATGAGGGAAGGAGGGTCCTGTTACTTTGGCCATGCAAGCAGAGGATAGAGGATGCCAAAGGGGCACTGAGATTCAACCGGAATTCTTGATGGCTCAGAATTCCCTTAGCCAGAGACTCCAAGAGGTGAGGAACCTGCATCCATGTGAGGCCTAGGTCATGTGGTATGGCCCATCTCCAGAGACTATTCCTGGTCCCTTTTGCTTCCCCACCCTCCTTTGTTACCCAAGTCACAGATGAGCTTGACATGCCCTAGCTAGGGACAGCCCCACTGCTGGAGCCTCCAATGACCAGCCCCACCGGAACTCTTCCCCACTGCCCCGGGAATGGCTCCCACAGCTACACCTTTGAGCACTTTCCACTGGGCCTCCCGGGCTGCCACTTCCCTCCCTGACAAGCCCCATGAGAGAGGAATAACAGAGCACCAGGAAGGCGTTTCAAATAGCATCATGTCACAGGAAGAGTGTTGGCCTGTGTTCAAACACACGCAGATCTGAACTTCAACTTCATTTTGTAACCTTGGTCCAATTGCCCACCGGGTCTTGGGCTCATCATTTGAAAAGCACAGGCAATGATTCAAACATGGAGTTTTAAGAAGTAAATGATATATTGGCTGTCGAGGACTGGTGTCTAGCAGGAGGTGCATAGATGATAGCTTACATTTTCTGTTTTTGCTCCTTTTCTCCCCAGTGGAGTTACTCTTCAAGCTGAAACTTCAGCCCAATTCAACTTTTACTCTCATAATGATAAAAAGTGATAAGTAAGGAAACTGGCAGCTTCTTGGGGCATAGCAACCAACACCTTCTGATTTGATCTTTTTCTGCATCCTCACTTCTTGACGACTCCTCCGTTACTTAAGAGATTGAAGGTATTTTCGAGGACATTTTCTCTTTTGCTTTGCTTTTCCTTTTTTTTTTCTGCCATGACAGTAAGGGTAGTAACGCTACTTTGGTTGTCCTCATTTTATATGTGAGAATAATGCTAGCTGAAGTGTGAGGCGGCAAGGTCCCTTGTGACACATCTGATACACAGCAGAGTCAGGACTTGCTGAGCCACAGCATTCTGGCCTGATTCCAGTATTCCTTTTTCTATTCCACCTGCTTGGGTTCAGAGCCTTCTTAAGAAGTAGCCTTGGGGTATAAGTGCCATGGCCAGGTATGAAGAAAGGAGACGTCACAGGCCAGATCCTGGGGCGGGGGGAGTGAATCCATTCAACTAGGACAAGCAAGAGAACCATGGACAAGGTCTGGCTTGAGCCGGAGGCTTAGTGACCCTGCCTCAAGGACCCTGACCAGTGATGCCAGTCTGGGTGCCAGCCAGTCACTTGCCTGTTGTCAAACAGTCATGGTTTTGCAGTACATTCCCAGCATTGGCAATTGGCCCCTAACTAAGATCCGCTTGGCATAGTGGAAAGATCATGATTCCAGCCTAAGCTCAGCCACAGCGTGAGCCAGCTAAGCTTGTGCAGATGCCCTCCCCTCTCTGACCCCTCATTCCCTATCTACTGACCCACAGAGGACAGAAAATTAAACAAGAGAATGTGTGAGTGCCTGGAACCTTGAAAGACCTCAGAAAACGGCATCTCTCACTGCATCATGGAATTGTCATACTTCCTGGCACTGAATTCCCATTAGTTACTGCTCTGAAAGTGGACTTGGGGACAAGGAAAATGTCAGCACCTTCCCTGCCTCACGGGTATCACAGACCCTCATAAGCACTACTGGATATTTGCAGGGTGGCTTCCTGTCTCAGCTTTTGGAAAGCCTGCTTTGAACCATCAACTATAGTTTTCTCCCTGTTGGACTATAAGGAAGAATGTAAAGGAATGGATGAGCTCCCTCTTAATAGGGTTTCTGTAGTCCCAGGGTCTGAGGAGATTTTCTGGGGTCTGATGAATCTCCTCTTCAACTCACATCAATGCAATGTGGAGGTTTGTCAAGTACCTCCTAGGTAGTGATATGAAAATGGTGATGAGGGTAATGCCGACTAATGTGGTCAATAACAAGAGTTTCTATTTATTCAGCTACAACTCATGGCCATTCTTCTTCCATTCCTTTGGTCTAACCTTGTAACATTTCCTGCAGGTAAAAACTATCATCCCTATTTTACAGATTAAAAAAACTGAGGCTCAAATAAATTAAACGACTTGGCCAAGGCCACACAGCTAGTAAGTGGAAGATGCATGATTCAAGTTCAGATATGAATGTTCTGACCCCACCAGATTGACGTGATAACTCCTCCATCACTTGGAGAACCTCTACTCTTTCCACACACAGCTCACTGGCTCCAGGACCTTTTGTTATGAACAAGGATACAGAGAAAGTGTTGTTTGTGGGGATTTATTGATAAGTCAACCTGCTCTGAGAGAAGGATTCCTGTCTTAAACAAGTGAGCAGTGAGGCTCACAAGGTCAAGTGGAGCTGATTGGAGAGGGCCTGGGTAGGAAAGCCTGATAGGAAGTTTTTGATTCTGACTGCTTCCTTGACGGTAATGTAAATGTCCTGAAATGACCTAAACATCCATCAGCCAAGGAGTGGCTAAATGATGAGACAGCCATATAATGGAAGACTGTCTAAACAGCTGATTTTCTGGAAAAGCAGATCTGTATGTACTATGTAGAACAATTTCCAAGGCACTGCACTGTGTCCTCTATATTCCCTGACACCCAGATCAATTCCCCTCCCCTCCCTGCTCTGCTCTGTGGCCCGGGAGCACCTCCTGGATGGCAACATGCCTTCCTGGTTCACTGGCTTTCACATGGGTGTGATCAGTGTGCACCTCTGCAGCAGGTTGGAGGGCGGGAGGAGGGAGGGGCAGGGCATTTCTTCCCTGCTCCTCCCCAATTTGGGTGCCATGGCTCTGACACAGCCCAGTCCCTCCACGCTTCTGCTACTGCCCATCAGCCTGCAATCCAGGGCTTCAGTTATCTTTGGGCCCTGGTCTCCGATTTCTTCCCCTTTCCCCTTTGGACATTCAAATCTCTCCAGTTGAACTGTCTGAGTGGAGTTCTGTTGCCTGCCAGGACCCTGACCATGACACAGATATATTATGAATGTGGAGGACACCCCCAGATAAAGACAGCTCTCTACTGACCTCCCAAGAACCTTTCCAATCATCTTCACCATTAACGTCCCCACAAGTCCACCGATGGCGAATATGGATACAGTCACAGACCAGAGCAGAGTCAGAGTGTCCGGGTCTATTGGATGTTCATGCCTTCTTTGCCATGACTCATTGTAAAAGGCCTTGATGTACTGAAAATAAACAACAAACCATGTTACTTCTTTCTGTTCCATCCTGTTGCTTGAAGCAAGCCAGCGTATAAAACAAAATAGCTTTTATAGAGCATTTTTATGTGTGGCACTTTGCTAACTTCTGTTTGAGCTTTATCTCATTGGGCTCTTCTAACAGATTTTGAGACTGTTCCCTTTTTTACCTCATTTTGCAGATAAGGAAACTGAAGCTCAGGGAGACAAAGTAACTTGCTCGGTAAGTGCTAAACCTGGGAACTGGACTCAGATCTGACCCCAAGCTTATGATGACCTTTATAGCTGGGCTTCTCTGATTCTAGTGCACCGCAGTATTGCCTTTGAGGTGTGTTAAAGGGCACATATCCGCTGGGTACAGTGGCTCACGCCTGTAATCCCAGCACTCTAGGAGGCTGAGACAAGTGGATCACTTGAGGCCAGGAGTTCAAGACTAGCCTGGCCAAGATGGTAAAACCCTGTTTCTACTAAAATTAGCCGGGTGTGGTGGCACGTGCCTGTAATCCCAGCTACTTGGGAGGCTGAGGCATGAGAATCCCTTGAACCCAGGAGGCAGAGGTTGCAGTGAGCTGAGATCCCACCATTGCACTCCAGCTTGACCCTGTCTCTCAAGAAAAAAAAAAGGCACATACCTAACAAAAGAGGTACCTTGGGATAGGCGAAGATGCAAGACACATAAGAAAACGAACCATAAAAGAAAAAAAAATGTTCCTTTGAATATAATCAAGATTTACATCTTCTGCTCTTCCAAAGACATCATCAAAAATGAAAAGACAAGCCATAGACTGAGATAACATATTCCCAACACATACAACTACAAAGAAATCATATCGACAATATACAAAGAACTCTAACATGTCAATAAGGAGGCAAACAATACAATTAAAAATGAGTGAAAACTTGAACAGACTCCAAAAAAAATACAAATGACTGGTATGCTAATGACAGAATGCCTGACATCATTAGTCAACAGAGAAATGAGACCACAGGGAAATACAACTTCACATTCACTAGATCCCCATCACTGCCAATTCTGATTCAGTGTGTTTGGGACAGGGACTAGGTGATTCTGATGTACACCAAAGACTGAGGTCCATGGCACTAAGCTCCAAAGACAGTTCAGTCCCCAAGGTACTCAGAGTTCCCTGTTTCTACCCAATGTGAGCCCATAAACCTTAGCGAAGCCAGTACATGACACTGCAGAGAACTCAGACCTGGGCTCAAATCCCAGCACAGCAACTTGGTAATGATCCAAATCAGCTGAACCTTGGTTTTCTTATCTACAAAATGGGAATGATGACATTGACCTCTCAGGGCCGTTGTGAGGGTCAAATGAAAGCCTGAAGCAGTGGCCAGTACTTGAGTGGAACTCACACAATCCCCATACAGGCTAAAAATTAAAAGGTCCAGTAAGACTGAGGAGTCACAAGTAGTGTGTACTCTGCTGGTGGGAGTTTAACTTCTACAGCCATCTTGGAAAACAGCTTTGGCATCTTCTAGTCAAATGGAAGATGCCCATAACCTACAACCCAGCAAATCCACTTCTGGAAAACTCCCCTGAAAAACTCTTTCCAGGGAGCCCTAGGATATATCTACTCAGATGTCTACGGCAGCATTGCACGTAATAGCCCCAGACGAGAACCAACCTGGATGCCCATGGTCAGTAGTAGGGATAAACAAATTGCAGAATCATCATCATATGAAATACTATAGCTGCAAATGTGAATGAATATAGCTCTGTGCAAACACACATGGTAAAACCTCGCAAGAATAACACTGACCAAAAGAAGCTAAAAACAAAAGAACACACACAGTCTGATTCCACATGTAAAACCCAGAAGGATGCCAAATTAAAAGACTTTTGGAGGATTATATATAGAGGGTAAAACTACAAAGAAATAATTATTTCAAATGTCAGGTCAGGGGCCATCTCAGGAGATGATAGAAGAAATAATTGGGGAGAGACACTTGGTAGGACCTTCTTTTTCTTCTTTTTTTTCAGGCTGCAGTGCAGTGGTGTGATCACAGCTCACTGCAGACTTGATCTCCTGGGATCAGGACGTCCTTGTACATTAGAAGGTCCTTGTAATCATCCCAAGTAGCTGGGATGACTACAGGTGTGTGCCACCATGCCTGGATGAATTTTTTTGTTTTGTTTCTTGTACAAATGAGGTCTTGCCAGGTTTCCCAAGGCTGGTCTCAAGCTCCTGGGTTCAAGCCATTTTTCCCGCCGCAGGCTCCCTGGACCTTCTACACTTAACCTGGATTGTGGTGACGTGGGTGTTAGATTTATACTGTCTTTAACATGTGTGTGTGTGTGTGTGTGTGTACATGCATGCACAGACATGGTGCATAGGTGTGTATTTTATATACTCTTTGGTATGCATAATACATGCTCCCAATTAAAACAGAAAAGAAAGATGGCAGAAAGGTGTTTCAGGTAGAGGGAGAATCATGCCAAGACAGCATGACAGAAGAAAGCTTGGGTGGCCATGGAATTGCAAGGAGGCCAATGGGTAAGGAAAAGGATCCGAAAGGGAAGGAGTGGGCTGGATGAAGTTGGAGGGCAAGAAAGGGCAGGTCATGTGGGCCTAATAGGACATGGAAGTGAGCCTGGTTTTTACTTGGATTCTACTCTAGATGAAGTGGGAAAGTATTGGAGGGTTTTTGGCAGGGGGAGGATGTGGTCTGGTTTGCCACTTTCAGAGGATTTGCCATTTTCAGAGGATTCCTCTGGCAAGTGGGTGACAGGGGAGCTAGACAGGAAGCCAGGCGCACTGTAAGGGCTCTGCAGCAGTCCAAAGATCATGGAGGCCTTCACTAAGCAGTGGACATGGAGGGAAGCGGATGGATTTAAGGTGGATTTTGAGAGCAGAATAGGCAGGACTTCTGAGTGATTGGCTCGAGGTTTGAGAACAGAGGGTGTGGCAGAAAGTGAAAGAAGAACACAGAAGACTCCCAGGTTTCAGACATAAGCAAATGGTCCGATGGCAGGAAACAAGGTGAGGAGGGGAGACACCTTCTGCCTGTGAGGCATTTATCTTCTGTTTTCTCTTTCTTTCTGGCTTCACAACTATCTTACTCATAGCATGGAGCGAGAATAGAATATATTATCAACGGCTACAGCTATTCCTATTGACGAAGTTTCCAGATCTGGATGCACAAGATACTGATCTACATCACCCACTGGCTCATTCAACAAACATATGCTGACTGCTGGGCCCTGAACCAAACGCAGAGATAAACTGAACATAACCCTGATCTCAAAGATCTTCCATCCCCTGGAACTGATAATGCATCATCTCATTTAAGGATGCTCTTGGCTACAAGTAACAGGAAAGCTCAACTCAAAGTAACTGAACAATGAAGACACTTACAGAAATGCAAATTTACAGGAGTGATGAGCTTCAAGAACGGCTGATCTGGTGGCTCAGTAACGGCCAAGAATCCAGGTGTCTCCAAAACTCACTCTGCTTTCCATAGTTTTGACCTCATCCTAAGAGGGCATCCACTCGCAATTGTAGGCTAGCTACCAGCAGCAGTTTTGGCCACATGCCTTTCTACTCATGCATGGCTGGAGACAATAATCTTGGCTTCTCAAAGATCTCTTGGTGCTAAAAGGAACTTTCCTGGAACCTTCTAGCAAGCTTCTCTTTACATCTTACTGGCCAGAGTTGGGGCACAGATCCCTTATTAATCCACTGTGGAATGGGACCCATCAGCCTGTACCTCTGCTCCTGAATTCCTTTCCTTTATCTGCTCCTCCCCACCTGAGTGAATGAGACCACCATTTTCCAGTTGCTCAGCCAAAAACCACGAAGTTATTCTTAACTCCTGCCCTTGATACAGTCTCCTCAACTAATCCACCCTCACTCATCCCTGACTGCTAGGGTTGTTAGATACTGATCTACATCCTCCACTGACTCATTCAACAAACATGTGCTGACTACTGGGCCTTGAGCTAGATACAGAGATAAACTAAATGTAACACTGGATCTCAAAGATCTTCCATCCACTGGAGCTGATAATGCATCGTATCATTTAAGGATGCTCTTGGTTCAAGTAACAGGAAAGGTCAACTCAAAATAACTGAGCAATGAAGACACTTACAGAAATGCAGATTTACAGGAGTGGTGTGCTTCAAGGACAGCCCATCTGGTGGCTCAGTAATGGCCAAGAATCCAGTTGCTAACCCCACACCTCCAGATTTATATATTAAAGTCCTAACACCCCGTGTCTCAGAATGGGTCCTTATTTGAAACAGGGTCATTGCAGATATAATTAATTAAGATGAGGTCATATTACAGTAAAGCCCACCCTACTCCAATATGACTGGTTTCCTTTATAGAAAGAGGATTCAGAGACAGAGAGACACTGGTAGAGTGAATTTTGTTCTGCCTCCAAACTTCATATGTTGAAGTCCTAACCCTTAGTACCCCAGAATGTGACCTTATTTGGAGACAGAGTTTTTACAAAGCGAATAATATTAAAATGAGGTCATTAGAGTGGGCCCTAATCCAATATGACTGGTATGCTGAAAGAAAGAGGAAATACGGAGATAGACAGGCGCAAGAGAAAGATGATGTAAAGAGGCATAGGGAGAAGATGGCCATCTGTAAGCCAGAGAGAGGGGGCTGAAACTGAGCCTTCCTTCAAAGCCCTCAGAAAGGACCCACTCTGTGAACACCTTGATCTTGGACTTCTGGCCTCCAGAACTACGGAATAATACATTTCTGTTCTTTTAGTCACTCAGTCCATGGCACTTTGTTATAGCAGCTATAGAAAACTAATATTTTGCCTGGCTTCCAAAATGCTTCTCACCACTTCCACCATTCCATCACTCAACTGGTCCAAACCACCATCCCTTCACTGGGGCTACCAAGACACTGATTCCTAAACCCTCATCAGAGTGCTGCCAGCAGCCTTCTGAATGGGTACTGTGTTCTCTCTCAGTGGCTGGACACTTAGTCAATGTCAAGGCTTTCTGT